TTGATTAGTCGTATGATTACTAAATTATTTATTATTAGCAATAATCATCACTATAGGTTGCTATATATATTTACTTTTGCAATATAGACTTCACGAGCCACTTCTCCGATGATCGAGCTGAATCAAGGTGATAAATTGTGTTAGTGGAATTACAAATCACCATTAGGCTCCAATGCTCCCTACATAAGTTCACAATAGACAAGGTAATTAATATTTAGGAGTCAACATATAATGAGGCCAAATCGATTGAATTTGACATGGTTAGACTTACTCTCTATAACATGGGGTGAATATGAACTTGTCTCCCGCACGCGTTGATTCCCTTATACTCTGTTCAACATAGTACAACACATCATGGGGGTTGCCTATGATTTTAGTAGTGGATAACTGCTCGGGGCATAACCACCCAACTTTACAAGGAGAATCAGTGTCAGTTAAGTGCTCCTGTAGTGCTCTGCGTGCATGAACATTGATTAATTTATCAGATGTAGGATAATCACCATCAATTTGAATAACTTGAAAAAAGTATAGATTATGTGGGAATTGAAGTACCTCATGAATGTTTGAATGAGGGAAATGTTAAGCTTTGCACCACATAGAAAATCCTTCTCATCTTCTTTGTTGATCCATGCAATTGCATCCTCATCATAGTGGAACATTGCCTTAGAAAGTGCAACTTCCATGGGATCGACCAAATGACAAGCACGGTTGTGAAGAAAGGTCATGTCAGTAGAGAGCGATTTAAGAACAATGTCTTCAACAAGTGGAGTAGGTGGCATGGGTGAACCTTTCGAAGAGTGCAACTTCGACGCTTGTGAACTCTTGGACTGTTGTTCACTTAGCTTCTTCTTAGGTTGATCAATTCTTTTATGCTTCTCCACCCTCTTTCTCTTTGAAATTTTGCTTCCATTGGAAATCTGAAATAGTTTGAGAAATAATAAGTTTCAACTCACAATCACTTATAATAGCCAAGTGAGTAGCCATTTCGGGTCAAAATGGCTTTTTTTGATGAATTGGACCCAAAAACTTAGAACTTGGCGATTTTTATGTAATTTCAAATGAAAAACACTTATAAATATGTGATTATGAGTTATTTTGAGATGCAAGGAGTTTATAAGTTGAGAAATGAAGAAAATAGTCATGTGAGTAGCCATTTCGGGTCAAAATGGCTTTTTTTGATGAATTGGACCTAAAAACATAGAACTTGGCGATTTTTATGTAATTTCAAATGACAAACACTTATAAATATATGATTATGAGTTGTTTTGAGATGCAAGGAGTTTATAAGTTGAGAAATGAAGAAAATAGCCAAGTGAGTAGCCATTTCGGGTCAAAATGGCTTTTTTTGATGAATTGGACCCAAAACCTTAGAACTTGGCGATTTTTATGTAATTTCAAATGAAAAACACTTATAAACATGTGATTATGAGTTTTTTTGAGATGCAAGGATTTTATAAGTTAAGAAATGAAGAAAATAGCCAAGTGAATAGCCATTTCGGGTCAAAATGGCTTTTTTTTGATGAATTGGACCCAAAACCTTAGAACTTGGCGATTTTTATGTAATTTCAAATGAAAAACACTTATAAACATGTGATTATGAGTTTTTTTGAGATGCAAGGATTTTATAAGTTAAGAAATGAAGAAAATAGCCAAGTGAATAGCCATTTCGGGTCAAAATGGCTTTTTTTTTATGAATTGGACCCAAAAACTTAGAACTTGGCGATTTTTATGTAATTTCAAAATACAAACACTTATAAATATGTGATTATGAGTTGTTTTGAGATGCAAGGAGTTTATAAGTTGAGAAATGAAGAAAATAGTCATGTGAGTAGCCATTTCGGGTCAAAATGACTTTTTTTGATAAATTTGACCCAAAAACTTAGAACTTGGCAATTTTTATGTAATTTCAAATGAAAAACACTTATAAATATGTGATTATGAGTTTTTTTGAGATGCAAGGAGTTTATAAGTTGAGAAATGAAGAAAATAGCCAAGTGAGTAGCCATTTCGGCTCAAAATGGCTTTTTTTGATGAATTGGACCCAAAAACTTAGAACTTGGCGATTTTTATGTAATTTCAAAAGAAAAAAACTTATAAATATGTGATTATGATTTGTTTTGAGATGCAACGAGTTTATAAGTTGAGAAATGATGAAAATAGGCAAGTAAGTAGCCATTTCGGCTCAAAATGGCTACTTTTTGATGAAATGATGAAAATTGCTTAAATATTTTTTTTTAAAATGCAACGGCAGCCGCACCGGGACACCCGAGGGAGCCGCCCCCGCTGCCGGAACAGCGAAGGCAGCCCGTGCCGAGGCCATAGCAGCCCCGACAGGTGGCTGCCAAGGCTGTAGCAGCCACGGCAGGTGGCTGCCAGTCTGGTGCAGCCTCGGCAGCAGCCTGCCTGGGCTGCTGCTGCCTCGACAGGCGGCTGCCATGGTTGTAGCAGCACAGGCAGCACCTGCCGAGGCTGCAGCAGCCATGTCAGCCGCCTGTCGAGGCTGCAGCAGCCCAGGCAGGCTGCTGCCGAGGCTGCAGTAGTCTGGCAGCCACCTGTCGTGGCTGCTACAGCCCTGGAAGCCACCTTTCGGGGCTTCTGTGGCCTCGTTGGGGCTGCCTTTGCTGTTCCAGCAGCGGGGGCGGCTCCCTCGGGTGTCCCGGTACGGCGGAAGTTGCTTATTTTTTTAAAAAAAAAAAAATTTGAACTAGGCGATTTTTATGTAATTTCAAATGACAAACACTTATAAATATGTGATTATGAGTTGTTTTGAGATGCAAGTAGTTTATAAGTTGAGAAATGAAGAAAATAGGCAAGTGAGTAGCCATTTCGGGTCAAAATGGCTTTTTTTGATGAATTGGACCCAACAACTTAGAACTAGGCGATTTTTATGTAATTTCAAATGACAAACACTTATAAATATGTGATTATGAGTTTTATTGAGATGCAAGTAGTTTATAAGTTGACAAATGAATAAAATAGCCAAGTGAGTAGCCATTTCGGGTCAAAATGACTTTTTTTGATGAATTTGACCCAAAAACTTAGAACTTGGCGATTTTTATGTAATTTCAAATGTAAAACACTTATAAATATGTGATTATGAGTTTTTTTGAGATGCAAGTAGTTTATAAGTTGAGAAATGAAGAAAATAGGCAAGTGAGTAGCCATTTCGGGTCAAAATGACTTTTTTTGATGAATTTGACCCAAAAACTTAGAACTTGGCGATTTTTATGTAATTTCAAATGTCAAACACTTATAAATATGTGATTATGAGTTTTTTTGAGATGCAAGTAGTTTATAAGTTGAGAAATGAAGAAAATAGGCAAGTGAGTAGCCATTTCGGGTCAAAATGGCTTTTTTTGATGAATTGGACCCAAAAACTTAGAACTTGGCGATTTTTATGTAATTTCAAATGACAAACACTTATAAATATGTGATTATGAGTTTTTTTGAGATGCAAGGAGTTTATAAGTTGAGAAATGAAGAAAATAGCCAAGTGAGTAGCCATTTCGGCTCAAAGTGGCTTTAGTTTGATGAATTGGACCCAAAACCTTAGAACTTAGCGATTTTAATGTAATTTCAAATGAAAAACACTTATAAATATGTGATTATGAGTTTTTTTGAGATGCAAGGAGTTTATAAGTTGAGAAATGAAGAAAATAGTCAAGTGAGTAGCTAATTTACCTCCTTATTAATCAACTTCACCCATGCACGTGGCCAATCAACGAAGCTACCTACAGCTTTCCAAAGCGCTGTTATCTCAACCTCCTCTATCGGTACGGGTAGTGGGATGTCTTCAAACCCCGCAACCCTTGAGTCGATCCCAACCGAGTAATGATGTGGCCCCGCCGTAGCACCCGTCGTCGGTTGGGCACTACCATACACCACCAAACTCAACACGGTACTATTTGCATTCCCCGGAGCTAGAAGTGCACACCGGGTGTCTTCCTACACAAGTATATATATAAAAAGAAGATAGTTAAATAGGACTTTTACAACAGCATAGATATAACAAAATTCATTAAGGTAGAGGGTTACAAATCACCTGTAACTCTGGAAATTCATGCGGTGTTGGATTTTCAAGCTCCCTCGAGTCCGCATGTGTAGGAGTAGGAACCTGCAACAGTACATCAATCATTGCACCTGAAATCTCAATTAACTCGGTATTTTAAAACTTTTAATAACCCAATTGATTTTACCTGAGGTGACACATCTTCACCACGTATCTCATCTCCTCCATGTCTATCACCTTCTCCTTGTCCTTTTGGTTCAGAACATGAGTCGACCGGGGTACGAGTGAGGAACGGAATAGTCGGTAAGTTCATCAACTTCGCCCAAGCATTCAATTCACCAACTAACTCGTTGCGTACTTGTTCCTTAATTGATGCCACCTTGGCATCCAACTCCCCCGGTGAGTTAACACTGGCTCGAGATCTACCCGATTTTGTGTATTCGGGACCCATCACCTTATTCCATCCAAGCAATGACCCTCCCGAACCTACTACTCGTCCTGGATGGTATGGCCTTCCCAAAGCCATGGTGAAAAGGTCATTCTCCACACTTGGTTCAAATTTGCCCTCCACCATCTCTTGAGTGTGCTCAAGCTATAGCATAAGGAAAAATGAGGTCAGTAAAACAGTTAATGGTTTGTACAGTGATTAGATGCAAAAGTGACTTAATTTCAACAATTCATAGGTAACTTACTAGCTTATCCGCCAGTTTTTTGGCTTCCGGACCCTTGATGAACCATTTTCCGGTTTTCTTATCAAACGAATGGAGAGAACAAAAGAAATCACCGGCACGACTCACCAATGTAGTGATCGTGGAACTAGAGAGTTCCTTCGATGCCACTAGAACCGCTTTAGGGTATAAACCCGAAGCGGCCCACTCAGGTCTCTTTTCAGCAAAAGTCTTAGGACCCATACGATAGACGTATTCCTTCTTTTCTGCATTCGCTTGATTTTGCTCTCGAAGTTCCTACAAAACAAAAAGTGTTAGTCTCATTAATACAAAAAGTGTCAAGCTATTATTCAATTGACATCAGATTTACACAAACTTACAATGGCTTTCTTTTGACTCTTCATTCTAACGAACTCTTCCCAATAATCTTTTGACACGGTCGGCCATATTTGCCACGGGAGACGGTTTTCCTCTTTGGCATTCTTCTTCTTTGTTTGCACCTTCTTCTTCTTATGGATCCACCGATTAGTCAACTTGGTCCTCTGAATCTTTCCCCTAATAAAGAGACAAACACCCTTTTCTTCTCGGGATCATTAGGAATAGAAAACTGCCTCTGCAAGCACAAATTAAAACCGATTATTAGTTTCTATTTAAAAACAATCATAAGGTTAAGGTATCTTAAATTGTCTAAATGTGCCAAAAACACACTTACCCTTGTATCATCCCAAAATGCTTGAATCAAACCCGAAGGTACTTGCCGCATTACAAGTGTAATGGGGATTTTCCGCGAACATAAGCCAACTTTATTAGCATATTGTTGACGCCATTTGGGCCCAGGTTGGCCTTTGTTGTCATAATCCAAGACCATGGGACCGTCCGGTTTCTTAAAGCTTCTCGTCGGACCCCTTGTTTTTCTTTCAGCCGGTGCCTTTTCCCCCCCTCCACCACCTGTGTTGTTTTCATCTTGTCCTTGGCCTTGACTTTCATAAGTCGGGTTCTCACCAACAATCTCACGTGCTGTATTTACAATGGCCGGTGCACGTTCATCTGACATTTCAAAATCGTCAAGCCTACGCTCGAACTCATCTTGAGCCTGATCCTCTGGCTCACCCAAGTCATCCTCCTTATTCACATCATAAGGAGCATCACTATCATCGGAGTCGTCATCCTCGTACTCGTCCTCATACTCATCATCGTCAATGTCCTCTACCAAACGAGGATCATGATCGTCCGCCATGAGATATAAGCACCTGTCAAAGCAATCATAAACAATATTAGTGTATAGTAAAGTATATGCATGATAGTTATTATGGTTATGTAGAAGCTATTTTAGCCATTTTCACCTACTTATTATGGTCCTATAACCTTGTATATGCATGATAATGAGTACAAAATGCCAATTTCAATCTACATATGGAAAATAGGTTGTTAGAATGAATAAATGTTAGTTCATACACAAAACAAAGGAGTTGGGTTAAGTAGAAGCTATTTATGCCAGTTTCACCTACTTATGGTCCTATAACCTTGTATATGCATGATAATTAGTACACTTAGGCAATTTCAAACTACAAATATATCATTTTCGCCTACTTATGCTCCAATATACATGATAACTAAACTATATTTGCAATGAAACCATTACTAACTTTTAATCAAACTACCTCATTCTGAAATTCCTTCGTTGTGGTCTGATCGCATATAACCTGCTTCGTTGTCTATATCATTTAGTACTCCAGGTCTAGGAACAGTGAAAGGTGCTGAATCATCAAACGCATCATATTCTTCCTCATCCTCAACATCTCCAATGCCTAAGATTCTTCTTTTGCCAGCTAGCACTATAGACCATTTTGAATCCATTGGGTCAGTTACGTAGAACACTTGCTTAGCTTGAGATGCAAGGATAAATGGTTCCGCACTATCATTCAAGTGGCCAAGATCTACAAGAGTAAAGTCCTCATGTTTGACGTTACGCCTGATATTATCAACCCACTTACACTTGAAAAGAGCAACCGTGAAGTCACAATAATCAAGCTCCCATATTTCTTGAATTCGACCATAGTATGACAACTCTGCATCGACAGGTGATTTATCCTTAGAACTTGCAAACTCCCTTGACGATGCCGCAAGAGTTACACCACTGTTTTGGGTGGAGGAAGATTTCAAATCACGAGCCTCGGTCCAAAAAGTGTACCCATTGATGTCATATCCCTCAAATGAATGGACATCATCCCTAGGACCGTACGCAAGCCACCGTACTGTATCGGTCACATTAGTATCATTCAATCCACTCATTACTCGTTCATGAAACCAATCAACAAATTTCTTATTATGCAACTGCATAAGTGCCCTTTCACCTTTGGATGGAAATTCGGCACGCAAACAAGTCATGTGCTCGTCTAAATATGGGTGCACATCTGAAACATGGTGCAACACATAAAGGTGTGCTTGTAAGAACTGATCTCGGTCTGGTGACATTCGTTTCGACCCAATTGTGCCATGACCATCAAGTCTACCTTCATGTCGAGAAGTAGAAAGACCAATAGGTTGAGCAAGGGCTATGTAGTCCGCCACAAAGTTACCTATTTCCTCACCCACTGTCCCTTGCATTATACTTCCTTCAGGTTGGGCTCGGTTCCGTACTTTATCTTGTAATGTACCCATGTGTCTTTCAAAAGGGTAGCACCACCTCATGAACACTAGACCACACAACTTAATCTCACGCACCAAATGAAGAACTAGATGAACCATTATGTCAAAAAATGAGGGTGGGAAATACATCTCAAATTTGCACAAAGTCACAACCACATCAGCTTGCAAAGCATCTAGTGTACAAGGATCAAGAACTTTGCTACAAATTGTATTGAAAAACAAACAAAGGCTTGTAATCGTTTCCCTCACGTGTTTCGGTAGAATACCACGGATTGCAATCGGTAGGAAGACTTGCATCATAATGTGACAATCATGGGATTTCATACTTGTCAGCTTCAATTCTCCATTTAAGGTTACAAATCTTTTCATGTTAGATGAGTACCCTGATGGAACCTTAATGCCGTACAAACATGCACAAAACATACGCTTCTCTACCCTTGACAATGTATAGCAAGCCGGGGGTAAATAATTCTTTTCATCCTTCCCTTTACCCTTAACTTTCTTCTTTGACGCATCTTTGGCCTTTCCCCTTCTCTTGCTCTTCTCCTTCCCTTTTTTCGAAACACTTTCATCTTCTATTCTCGGCTCCTTTCCCTTTCTGACCTTTTCTTGAGGCCACAATTCTGGACGAATCCCCATCTCTTGCAAATCTAACCGTGCACCCTTTCCGTCCTTTGTTTTGCCTGGGATATTCATAAGCGTCCCCAAAAGAGCATCACACACATTCTTCTCTATATGCATCACATCAAGACAATGCCTAACGTCATGTTCTCTCCAGTACGGCAGCTTCCAAAAGATTGATTCTTTCTTAAACAGAGCAGCTGAGACCACAGTTTTTTCTGATTTTCCAAAGACCATTTGTATCCCTTTCACCCAAGCACTAATCTCAGCACCAGTCAATGGTCTAGGCGCAGTATCCTCTTCCACGATTCCATCGAAAGCCTTTTTCTGCCTACGGTACGGGTGATCACGCCTAAGGAACCTTCGAGTCCGTAGGTACACATATTTGTGAGAATGAGTCAGGTATACGCTTGATGTGTCATCAATACATATGGGGCATGATTTTTTCCCTTTGACCTTGTACCCACACAATTTTCCATATGCAGGGAAGTCATTCATGGTCCACATAAGGGCTGCACGCAATGTGAACATCTCGTTCTGATGAGCATCGAAAACGGAAACCCCTTCGTCCCACATCTTTCTCAAGTCGTCAATAAGCGGCGCAAGGTAAACATCTATGTCGTTTCCAGGTTGCTTAGGACCAGTTATTAGCAATGAAACCATTACATACTTACGTTTCATGCACAGCCAAGGAGGAAAATTATAAATCACTAAAAGTACCGGCCATGTGCTGTGTTGGGTACTAAGAGTGCCAAATGGATTCATCCCGTCCGTGCACAACCCAAGCCTTAAATTTCTGACTTCATTACCAAATTCCTCAAACTTCAAATCAATGTCCTTCCACTGTGGAGAGTCAGCTGGATGCTTAAGCATTCTGTTTTTCTTTCTTCCCTCTACATGCCACCTCAAGTTTTTAGCGTCTTTTGGTATTGAGAACAGACGCTTAAACCTTGGAATAATGGGAAGATACCACAACACCTTAGCAGGAGGTCCCTCCGTGCCAGGATTGCAACTCATGCGCTTGTACCGCGACCGCTTGCATCGTGGACACTCCTGTAGTTTTTCATACTCATTTCGATACAAAATACAGTCATTAGGACATGCATGTATCTTCTTATACTCCAAACCAAAGGGACACATGAGCTTCTTTGCGTAATAATAAGACTTAGGAATTTCATTCCCATTAGGCAACATATCACTTAATGCGGTCAACAAAGAAGTAAAACTGATGTCCGTCCACCCATGCTTCGACTTAATGTTGAAAAGTGTTAGCACGGCCGATAGTTTGGAGTATTTTTTGCACCCGGGATACAAAGGCTTTTTGGAAGCCTCCGATAATAATTCAAACACTTCACCTTCAACACCTTGCAACATCTCATCCACTTGTTCATCCTCGACCTTATCCGCCTGATCTTCATCGGCTCCATCCTCACCATTATCAACAATATACTCATCATTCTCGTATTCCTCGTCCACATGAATCTCATTGCTTCTAACACGCACATCATTCTGATCAAGATCCCCACTGTACTCTCCACTTTCTCCGTGCCAAATCCACACATGGTAAAATTGCCTAAACCCACGACATAATACATGATCTCTAATGATTTCAACACTATCGACCACATTCACACAATTACAATCAACACAAGGACAATAAAGGCCTTTGCCTCCCAGTGTGCGTTGATAAGCTAAGCCCTCTCGCAAAACTCTTAAACCCCATTCCAAAATTCCAATGTATCGCGTCTACCATACATCCAACCACGATCCTTCTCCATTTAGTAAATTGTTTCTAAACATATATATAGCACCATATAATTATAATGTGTAAGTGCTACATATTTTATGTAAATCAAATTCAAGTACAAAACGTGAATATACCATTCATATAGTGAAAAAATGCATGTTTCCAAAGGGTCCTTATCACTCCAACCTAACCCATCCTTGAATGTCTACTCTCACTAGTGAATGTATGTCAACTTTCCAATTTTAAGGAAAATCCGGCAGCATTTCCCCCTAGTTCTCCAAGTACACGATGTAGATAATTAATTACCCACATATGTACCCAGAGAACATAGTGAGGAAATGGTAAGCCGAGATGTTCCTTAAAATCGAAAAGAAAACATACATTCACCACCTAAGTGAGAGTACACATTCAAGAACAGTCCCAACCGGGGACTATTCAAGACTTTCTCCTAATGAGAAAGCCTTGAACGGGTATCTAGGCATATGATGATGCAATTCAAGTATTCTATATATTGTTGTATTTATTTGCAATTAAACAATACACAAGTTGCAATTTCATGAATAAACTTTTATGAAATGGATGAATAGAAAGAAATATAGCTAAGTAAAGTTTAGTAGTCATACCAATATAGCAACTACCCACTTGAGCTCAATATGTAGTCCTCAAGCTAATTAAACTCTTGCTTCAATTCACATATGAATCTATATATTAAAAAAACAAAAAAAACAAAAATTAGGTTAAATATTATGTATGTACTTCTCATAACATGTCAATTCACTAATTTATTTCTAAGCTAAAACACATCATTCATCGAACTAACAATTGCTAAACTATGTATTCACTACTTTAATTTTTTCAAATTCATTTTTTTATTCAAAATTACTAAACTAAAAAGGTTACTAATCTCTAATTTTTTTCATTTTAATTATTCAAAATTGCTAAACTAAAATGGTTACTAATCTCTAACCATTATACCAAACCAAAATTCAACTAATTAAGTAACAAGGCTAATATTCTCTACTTTATTCAAAATTACACATCAAAACAAATTAAATTAACCATTAAAACATACTAATATCCAACTAAATGAGTAACAAAGTTACTAATTTCTAATATTTTCACAATTTCCCAATAAAAAAAACCAATTATTGAAACAAATTGAAGTTAAATTATATTCTAACCTAAATTTTAATTTGCCTAACAATTCTTCAACATGCAAAACAAA